ATATTTCAGAGGGCTATGTATTCGTTGTTGAGAGAAACTACACACCTCGCATGAGACATGACACTGATGACTGATGACTGGCGACAGCTGACATTTCTAAAAATTCTGACAGGGGTGTTCATAAATAAAAATTGCAAAAAAAAATGAAATTCCGATTCGAAGATCGATCAGATATAAATAATGGGTAAATTTGTACAATATGAACATTATAGCTATCCGAAAGGTGGTTTTAAAGCGGTTTAGGCGATGCGTTTATTCAGCACTGACGTGGCCTTCAAAGCAATCCACCACCGAGGCAGTGTGCTGTATACACCTAAACATAATGGGCGCGTTTCAACTAGTATGCGCAAGGCTAGTCTGTACATGTTAGGTACCCCTGTGTCCTCTTTACATAACACATCATCGTGTTCGTTAAATCAACTGAACGCTCGTATTGGGGTGAATCACCAAGTGAAACACAATACAAAGTACGCACACTTCACTACAAGCACATATTTAAGTACGCGTCATACAACTGACAGCATCACACCCATCAAAGACGATAAAGAAAAAACTAATACAGTTGAACCTCAGATACGTGCACATAAGCCTAGTTTTCTAAATGTAATTAGTAACTATGCACCAGGGGTGTTGGCCTGTGCGGTGGTTATGCAAATAGGTACTGGTGTTGCATCAAACCTGGGTCAGTGTTTGCTCAACATGCAGGGTATTACTGGCGCTCCCTCGCCCATCAGTGCCGTACCTATAGCCATAGTAACGGGTATGATCATCGGCAACACAATCACTCTATCCACGTACTTGAAGCCTGGTTTAGACTTCACGAAAACCAGGTTGTTGCAAGCAGGAGTGGTTTGTGTAGGTGCGAAATTGAGTGCTATGGACTTGCTGACAACAGGGTTACTAGGGCTGCCATGTGTTGCAGTGACTGTGGGGACAGGCCTGACATTCATCCCGTGGTTAGCAAGGCGGGCGGGCCTGACTGACAAGATGGGGTCGTTGATTGCGGGTGAGTTTGTATATATATATATGTGTGTGTGTGTGTGTGTGTGTGTGTGTGTGTGTGTGTGTGTGTGTGTGTGTGTGTGTGTGTGTGTGTGTGTGTGTGTGTGTGTGTGTGTGTGTGTGTGTGTGTGTGTAGTGTAGTAGTAGTAGTAGTACG